GACTCCCTGAAGTTCACTCTGTTTTTTATTAAAACTCCCGCTCTATCTGGAAACAAATCTTGAAATTGTGCATCTATTTACTCTCACTGATTTTTTGACTCTTGTTCTATTATGTTTTCAAACTACTGGGTTACCATTCTCTGCCCAGAATCGTGTTGTTTTGAATACTTGTCCTGCATCTCGTTAAGATACTGCCACTACTTTATTTTCAAAAATCATGCTTTAACGGTTCTTTTACTAACTCAACTGCTGTTACCTATTCCCTTTTTTCAAACTCCCATCTTTGAGATCTTAAATGTGCTTGAGACGTGCTAATTACGTGTTCACTTGTGGAGGGATTTGTGAGCCTTTATTTGTCTTTGTATGCTCCCTTATGTGCGGTCCTATTTGTTATGTATGTCGCTTAGCATTTTGTCCTTTAAACCTAAGGGTTCAGCCTAGTCCTTACCTTGTAGGAATAGTGGTCCTAAATACCCTCTAGGACTTATAGGACGGGACGGGTAATAGCACTCAATAAACATTCGTGACCAACCTACGCATTTTAAATACCTTAACGGGGTGGGAAGGGTAGATATGGAGATGATGACCGATGAGCTAATATCTCATGTAGCCCCTCTTCTGAGGAATGATTACTGGATATTGCATTGACATGATCCATATTAATCATAAACCTAGGACCCCCTTCCCTTTTCTTTTTTTTTATCTGCTTTCTTTAGAAATTATTTAAATCTTTCATAAATTTCCGCCCTCTTTACTTTCCCTCACAGTTTCAACTTATTTGCAATGTTATATGCAAACCTATTCTATTTGGGCCCTTAATTGCTTACTTGATTATGTGAAATCACAATTATAACATGGCCGGGAACCACACTAGTGGATCTTGAGGGGTGCCTAACACCTTCCCCTCGAGATAATTTCTAGCCCTTACCCAAACTCTGGTTATTCAATTCAAACCCTTTTAGTGTCCTAATGCACTTTAATCATTAGGTGGCGACTCTTCAATTTCAAAAACCCAATTCCCAAAAGGGAACGAGTTGTCCTCTCAAGTGTCGTAAACCCGATTTTGCCTTAGAAAAAGGGGGCATCGACAGCACCGCCTCAGCCCTAGAGGGCCTCCTCTCCCTAACGGCATTCGCCGTAAAAATGGCCCCTACGTCTGGTGCAAGTGCAGACGCCGCTTCCGAAGCAAAGAGTTTCTCCGGCTCATATTCAGCGACGACGGCCTTCCCGAGCTCCATCCTTCGCCTTTTTCTCGACGATGACTCCTCTCCATTAGACGACTCATCTACAAGGTGATAGATGAGCCGGGAAGAGATTTCATCTCGCACCACAATCGTCTGAGGGGCGGAATCCCTCATTGACGAAGCTTGAGTACGACCTCCACGAACGGACTCGGCTAAAGCAAATTGCATCCCAGCAGATGCGATAGCTTGGCGAAATGCCAGCACTGGAGCCTTCTTCTTGGAAATTCGTTGACCTAGAACCAAAAGTAGGTCGCATCAACGAGCAATGGTAAACAACAGTAAGCTGAAGCAAAAGTAACACTTACTAGATGGGACCTTGGGTCCAAAACGCTTGTTAAAACACGCCCAATCATGAATCCCCACCATGTGGGGCAACACACAATCCACCCAATCTTCAATGTCAAAGATAGGAGAGGGTGCACGCCTCTCAGCTGAAAAACAAGGAAACCACAAGTGAGCTGAAAATGAAAGAACGAAAGAAGATAACGAGCGTACGACAGAGATACTTACGATTATGATTCCACTGCTCGGGAAATCTAGTTGGATCCACCACCAAGTGCTCGGTCTTGATGAAGAAGTACTTATGCCAGAACTTCCGATTTGTTCTGTCATCCATTCCGACTACCAGCCCTCTGGTCCCACGATGCCGTAGGTGTATCATAGTACCTCTTAAAAACTGGGCGAAAATAAGTGCAACAGGTGGCGAACGTCAACCTCACAGCCCGCCAACTCTGCGTACTTTGTCAGCATCAAGAAAGCTTTATACAAGTAAGGAGAAAGTTGCGCCGGGCAGACGTTGTAAAACTGGCAAAATTCCTCCGCTAGCGGAAGGAGAGGAAGAGTATAACCAATCAAGAACGGGTAGACATAGAAGGCACAATACCCGGGTCGATGAACCTCCACGATGTCGCCACCGGCCAGAACTATGTCGACATGGGGAGGGATGCGATATTTGGTCCGAAGGTCGGCTATATGAGGCGGTCCAGTCTCGGAGAGCACCTGAGCAGGAGCAGGAGTAGGCTCCTTTGGAAAATCATTTCTAGCCAAAGGGTTTTTAGAAACTATCTCTTCTGCGGTAGGGAAGCTATCATCCTCTTCAGCCATGAATTCCTCACCGCCGGGAGTAAAGGCCACCGATAATGGTGTGGCGTCGGAAACTTCATCATAAATGTGAGGGGGTTGAGACATATTTCAACAATGAAACGTATTCTACCAAGCCCGAAGAAGAAAATAACAACTGGGTAAGAAAGAGGGGAATGGAATCGAAGAAGCAAAATCAAGAGCAGAAATCGAAGAAAAAGATCAAAGAGGAACAATGCTCATGCAAAGTAAAGGATGGTGAAAACTTCCGAAAAATGAAACCCCCATCTATTTATAGGGTTGGGTGGCGCGAGAATCGAAGCAATGGATTGTCAATGGCACCAAAACCAAAGCGCCAGACGCACAAGCGCTACATCAGGAAGATGCGCAATGATGACGCGCGTGGCCATGACGTCATCTCACGATAGCCATACCAACCACAGCTTCGCTGGCTGCGCCGTTCTCTCGACCTCGGCCAATTCGATCTGATCAACGCGACCAAATTTCTTCTAATCGGATGCGAACCGAGTTCGCTTATCGAGGGCGTGCAAGACTGCGACCTCAACAAGCAGAGGGACTAACTGTATTGGTCTAAATTTGGCGACTTGGTAATGGCTAGATATAGGATCGAGGACAGGGTGGACCATGGCGTAATAGCGAAAAGCCCTCTTCAAGGGGAGCGTAGTCGAGGATGGACAACTAGGGTACAGGAGTAACAGTAAGATAGACTTAGGAATGAATACAAGGAATATTCCTTTGGATATTCCTATTTTGTATTCATTAGGGTTTCTTGGAAATACCTTCTATAAATAGGAAGAGATAGAGAATAAGAAGGGGATCTTCACTTTCTGAGAAAGACATATTGTAAAAGGTTGACTAAGAGAATATACAAAAGTTGTCTTGTTCATTGATTATCTTATCCAAGCACACGTTACTTAATCTTTGTTCACAAGATCCAAAGATTCCATAATCATCTTCACTTCTCTTCTTTACACGTTACTGTCAGGTGAAAGAACCATCCAAGTCATATAATAATTGGGTGGTAGATTCTTTCTTATTACCTTTATTGCCATTATCTATATTTATTGCATGTTTGTGTTATCATATTTATTGGCATTCATTGAATACAAACGTGCTGATTAACGTTGTTCATCTTACAGACTTCTCACAATATTTGGTCTAGAATTTGTTATTTTTAACTAAGATTCATCATTCATCTCATCATTAATTGGTTTAACTAAAAGGCTCAACACTTTTTGGTCAAACAATAATAATTTTAATATACAAAAAAAATACATAAATTAATACTAATACTCATAGCAACAATTCTTTCATCTAATATATTTCAGAAAATTAACTATTTCAGTGTACCTTTTTCCCTTCATGAAATGCTAAAGCATCCATGGTGAATGTGCATTCAACATATTTCTTGAATTTCGTGTGCAATTTATTTTTTTTATTGTAAAAATTTTAACAATGGCCTCAATATAATAGAAAAATATCTTAAATTTACAAGCAAGAAAGACGAATTCAAGTATTGATTTGGATGAAAAATATTATACTTCATCTTTGAAAGGATGAAAAAAGAAAAAAATCTTTATTTAAAAAAAAACTCGCATAAGAGGAGTTCCCTTTCTCATTCAAAATGTGAAGGGAGTATTGTTTCCCAACACTTAAAAAGGTTACTCATTAAAAAACTTTTAACCTTGTACACATATTATACTTTTTGTCACCTTGGCTTCGCCCATGCTTACAACATTCCCATAACGTCAATATCTGACATCATCAGGTTATGTGTCACTTCGTCAACTCCCACCAATCCACTATAAAAACATGTAAGACGACTCCATAATAATCAACCTCTAAAAATTTCTTCTAGGAAATTTCTTAGTCATTTACACATATTCTCCACCTATCGTTATTCCCTTACCTGAGAAAGAGAAAATAAAATCACGTCAATATTCATAATGGAAGTGCAGAAACGAAGAAGAATAGATGATGAAGAGATTGAAAATAAACAGTTAATAAATATTATGAAAGATGAGGAAGAAAACGAGGGAACAATTGTGGATGATGATGAAGTGGAAGAATTCTATGCAATCCTGAAGAGATAACGCGTGGCTATGAAGTATTTCGAGAAAGTTAACGCCATGGGTGGTGGTGGTTCTGGGCACAAGTTCACGGCGGCGAAGCCGTGGAATCCGGCGTTCTTGCCGGGGGATTTTGAAAATGATAAAGGTCAAGAATCTGTGGAGAACAATGTAGTATTGGATCTTAACGAAGATCCAGATCATGAAAAGAAGATACGTAGTTTAAAGGCCGATTGAGCCTTCCTACATCTTTGGTTTTAATTTTCTTTAAAGATATTTTTATAAGCTCTCCTGTCGCAAATATTAGTCATTTTATTGGTAAATTAAATATATTGGACGTTTTAGGAAATAAACAATAATTATTTATCTCGAGTATTCTTCTTCTTCCCGGATCTCACTTGTAGAATTTTTTTTTTTTTGGAAATTATCAATTTATTTCATGTAAGCCTCAATATTTACAACTCATAACTATACTTGGACTAATTTCATTCTAGCGTACACCATTTCTAGACATTGTGCCCCAGAATATGAGTACCTAGCACTTTCATTCTACATTTCATCTAACTCTACTAACAGTTTGAATATACTAAATTTCTGGATACCAATTTAATGTGCTCATCACTCTAGCCAACTTTGGAAACCTTGTTGCTCTTACATGTATTTCCTGGATAATCAGCCTCAGTATTGCTTTAGGAGTTCTTCTTTTCTTCTGAAACACTGCCCAGTTCCTCTCTTGCCAGCAATAGTAGACTGCTGCTGCCAGCACCATTCGACATATCTCAGCCCTTGCACTTCTTCCCTTAGCCTTCTGCACCATCCACGCGATCACAGTCTGCCAGTTTTGCGACATTATCTGAATGCCTTGCCATTGCAGTAATCCACACAATATTTTGCCTGTTTCCTCGCATTCAAAGAACAAGTGGTTCACTGTTTCATTCTGCTTGTTACACAAGGGGCAGCTAGGATCAACATTAATGCCCCATTTCACCAATCTATCTTTGGTCGCTAGTCTTTGTTGGATGACTAGCCTCAATATAAATGTCCACTTTGGTTGCCCTTGATTGTTGCATACCAATCTTCTCCACATCACCTTTGGATATTCTCCCTGCATTTTTGTGTACATCCTCTTA